ATAGAGCACTGAAAAGTCATCAGATGCTAATAACTCATTACTCAGCTGGGAAAGATCAAAACTAATGACAGATGAAATGCTCTCTTTCTTGTTATTAGTCCCCTGAGTCATCCAATTCCCACTGTACCACTGTCTATTTTTTGCTGCCTGCCTCTATATAACAAGCAATACTGTTGTTGCAGGTAGCTCCTGTGACTCATTCCTTGGGCTCATCCACCTGTGATTTGTGGGTGAGATGAGCTACTATAATGCTGTTTTCCTCTGGAGTTTCTCACTACATCTGACCAGGCTACTGAGACTGCTAGTCTGCTTTTCACCAGTATTTTTTTATGTTTAAACACATAAATTCTTTATTTTTACCAAGCGTACTACTAGTAGTGCTTAAATAAAGACTGGTAATTAGAGATGTTATGAATACATTTGCCAATCAAACTGCAACATCTCATTATCTTAATTTCCCAGGTAGAAGACAAATGCGCATTTTCCAAAATCGGGGGAAAAAAAAAAAAAACAAAAAAAAAACCAAACCCAAAACAAACCATGAATAAAAGTGGCATGTGATGGCAATAATCTTTCTTAAAAAATGGGAAAACACAATGTCTAGGTGGAAAAGGCACAATATCAGCTTCACGTACAGGAATAAGAAAAAACTAAAGACTTCACAGGGATTATATTTTTCTGGAAAAGCTAAAAGAATCTTTTCACTTTCTCTTTAACTCAGAATGAGACGATACAAACCAACCTTTCTACTGATCTCCTTCTCCTATTTTGTTGGTTGAGGCTGTGACTACTTTCTAAAATTATTGAGCCATCAGAAAGAGCCAGTAACAACTAGTAAGAACATGCTTTCCTTGAATACTTTTTACTCTGTCTCTGCGTGTATTCTTTAATTGAACTTAAATTTCTCATAGTTCTCCCCACTCCTACAGTAAAAACACTAAACAGTGTCCCTCATTCATGCTTACACACCACTCGGTACATTCTCCACAGATTTTATTCATCACCAGGCATATGCAAGTCCTGTACACTTTAAAGTCCTATAAAGCATCACACTGATATTCTGTAATGACCATAAGACACCACTGTATCACTACATCTGTCTTAATGAAATATCCATGTTATGATTAGCTTATAAAGCTCTCAGTACTAATACTGACCAACCCACTCGCTCACCGCACAAAGACCCTCAAAACAAACCTTTGGCTATTGAAGTGCTTGATCTGTAAACTCTGAATGCCTCTTTCTGCTTTAAAGTGAACAGCAAAACTTTGGCATTTACTTGCTGTCTTTCCTTAGCAAAAATAAAAATGATATTTTAGAGCTCCTCCTAATTCCTATGATTCATATGTCAGACTCCCTACATTCATCATTTCAAGCAAGTTTTTTAATCCATTTCCAGGTCTAATGGTGAACCATGTTCCAGGCAAATTGCCTTCTTTTTATTCCTAATGCTCTAATCACTGTTAGCAAAGAATGCACATGACAACTTTCATGCAATTATTATTGTTGAATGGCAAGATGTCTATATAAACTACCTTTTCCACTTTTCCAAAACATTTTAAAACTATGGAGACAACAACAGCAAGCCCTTCTTTTGTTTATCAAAATGCATAAACACACGGAGCAAACTCTCCTGCCTATATTTTTCCTCGGAGCCTTTAAAGTTTTAAATCAAAGCCACTTATATATCTGATGAATAACATTATTATGACTATGCTGCAGGCATACAGGGGGTCCTGCACTACTGCGGTCTAGTCAGACATCAACCACTGTTTTAAACATGTGCTTTCTGAAAACTAAGTGACCATTACTGAGGTCATCAGCATGAATCATATAAAGTGACTTAGATCCACAGACAGGGACAACTAAGATTTTGGCATTAAACAGTCAAATTTCCCAAGAACCACGTAGGAAACTACTTCATTGTCATCTTCAAGCCCAGCTTTAGATGTCCAGACTACACTTAAAGCTACGGAGAAAACTGCCTCAGTCCCTCCCTCAAGAAACTTTCAGTTCCCCTGATGTATAATCAGTTCAGTTCAGAGACAATTCAGGCTATACTAGAGGATAGACTTTTAGAACAATACAATTTTTAAAACAGCACCTCTGGCGTGATTTTCACACTCAATATTATAAAGTGAATGGGCTAAACAGACTATATTGTTCATAATAAAAATAGATTATTCCATTCTCAAACACAGGAAGCTATTACTCAAACAATGATCGTTTATACCATAGCATTGCTTGTACGCTTAAACAGTCAGAACTAAAGTAATACTACAATTTCCAGCAGAATTTCCATTATCAGTGACCAGCATAGGATCTAAAATATAATCTGGCAAATCTGGTTTCAGTCATCAGTGTACTAGAGTACATAGGTATATTAGTCTGTTTTCTGCAAAGCTATCCATGCAAATTCATCTCTTTGTTGCATTCAGTCTGAGCCTACTTTCAAGTAATACTATGGGTGACTCAGCTTGAGGTGAACCATCACTACAAAAACCATCTGCTACAGCACATTGTACGTTCTCTCTGTTCAGAGACCTCATTGTACTTACTCTCACAAACACAGGCTGGATGAGGTAATTCAGCAAGACTCTGTAATGGAGAGGGTCTTTTACAAAAACATTTTTGAAATCATAATAGGCGTACAGTAAACTGCTACATTAGCCCCAGAAGGCAGTGAGCCAGTGTCGATGAGTTAGTATAGAATTATGTTGAAAATGCCATGTGTAGTTGTTATTTGAAACAAATTTAAAATATTTATATATATATATATATATATATATGGACATGGAGACTGTATAGATCTGTTCTGCAACAGTGAATGGTGCAGATCTTGGTGTAAAATAAGCTTTGAGTGTAACGAAACCATTAGTTCACCAGACCCAACAAGCTGACTTGTGACTGCTCTTTCAACGAGTTTTTCACTTGCTGTTTTTAGAAGCAATACTATGAAATAAAACTAAACAAAAATAAAAATACCTCTCTTGGTTTTATAACAACATAATTAAAATGCTAGCCCATAAGACCCTATACCTACAGACAATCTATAGACATCCTTAAGTTTTACAAATTCTTTAAAGGACTCTTACAGGTCTTTCCTAAGTGCTTGCAGGAACATGACTTAAGTGTGGTAGACCTATCCATTTTGCTTCTCCCCCCAAACAGACAATTGCAACATTCCTAGTTTTACGGACATAAACCGGGACAGAGGTCTGGGTATAATACATGGGTTTTATGCATAGATGCACATACCACATATATATATATATATATATATATATATATATATATATGAGCATATAGGCATAAATGTATTTTTTAACTGAAGAGCATCTGCTCTTGATTTGATCATTTTCATATGGTTGCTTTTGTGGGCAATAACAGTACTATAAGTTGTTATTATATACATTTTCATGATTATCATCATGATGCTTAGACAACAATACATCCATGTTTCCTAGCAATCAATAGCTTTTAGTTCAAGCTGAGATTCATTTGCTACATATACATAAACTCCTAGCACATTAAAGGAAACCTGCTATTCTCAGCATGAAGGTTTGAAGAGTTCAGCTTCCATCCAGGATAAAGAACTGACATGAAAGGAGATTATTTCAACTAAAATGACAGTTGTGCTGTTCTGGTGGGTACCAAAAATTACTGTCCTGGTATTTGAGGGAGAAAAATGGAGAAAAAGGGAAAAAATGAACTCTCCTATGTTTTTCTTTCATCCTGCAGTTGATAAAATTAATGCCTCAACACAAAAGGTGTCGTATCAGTGACTGCTATGTACTACTGTATATATGTTCTAACACAATCTTTAAAACTATGATGTCTGTTCCAGTAAAAGAAAACATTTTGGTAAATAATGTCTCCTGCTATACAAATAACCATAGTCTTTCTAATCTGAAATCCATAGCACACGAGGTAAAGCAGAGAATAACAATTAATATGGTTTATTTAATAGAATGACATGCTGTACTAACTTACGGGAAGCAAACATGTATTTTTCAGAGGATAGTTTTTGTACAAGTAGTTTCTAAAATCTTAAAGATATTTTGTTCACTATTAAGACTCTTTTCTTATTTGTGCCAGAATTATTCACTAGCAAAACATTCCAAAGGTTGAAAATTAAAGTATAGAATTCTTGCTGTTCTGGATAGTACAAACTGCTATAAATACTTCGTATGTGAGAATTACCTTTTCCATTACAAACATTGCAACTGTTACCAGAGTACAGAAAAAGTTCACTAATGACATCTATTTCAAAGAAACTCCATACTAATTGGTAGCAAAATGTTACATATCCACATATATAAATGCATAAATCAATATAAAATTATATAAAGAAATTTATATTATATTAATATAAATATATTATAAATTTATATTATACTAGTTAATTAACAAATGGACAGAGTTTTGTGCTTATGACAATACTGCCTTGGATTAGCTATAAAATTTACAGCTGTCTTGGAAATCACCATAAACATCTCAGTCTTAGCTTTCTGGGCACAGGCAGCCAGCTACAAAAGCAGATCATAAATGTAATAAATGTCTACAGACACAATTCATATCAGTTGCAGAGTGCAACGATGATTTTCTTTCTGTGCTGCTGCTATGGCAGTTCTTTTCTTCATGTACTGGCCTATACACTAAACTCATACTTGCCATGAAAATGAGGTAAAAGGCAGATCTAAAATGCTGAAACTGCAATAAATATTGCCTTCTTCAGATAATTGACTTTTTTTTTTTTAGTAAATTAAGTATTCTCTTAACTTAACTTTACAGGACAAAAACATCTCTGTGTAAGCTCACTCCAGTGTGAGAGAAACATGAAAAATATCTGTAATTAAAGTATTGAAAGGACAGTCAATGTTTCCTCCAGAGCAGATGACTGTGAATTCCCCATAGCACTCAGCTAAAAGTGTTTTCAATTTGAGCATCCCCTGACATAAAGTAGAGTGGAAACTTTAAACAGTATGAAATTCACTTACCAGAAAAGACACTGGGGATCTTGGAAAGAAAACTTTTGACTGTACGAATAGGAATCCCATTTTTCTCATCTTGCATGCGGGCTATAACATCTTCCATCTGAACACAGAGAAAACAAAAGAAAATAGAGATAGAATAAAGCAAGAATTATTCCCTAAAATAAATTCTCCAAGAAATCCTAGATCAATCTCTCAGAATGATAGTCCAGTCTTGCTATTTCCTTTTAATTTATAATTTATATTCTATATAAACAGGCTAAAAAACTGCAAGTAATTTATTCGTGGACAACAGTAAAAAAATGTATGCACTCAAAGTCTCTTGAGAAAGAAATACTGACTCAGAGCAAAGAGATTTAGTTAAGGTAGTTTAAAGTAGTTAAAAGAAATAGTTTAAAACTATTGCTGGATATAAAATTTAATGTTTTGATTGTATTACCGGTATTGTACCACATATAAAAGCAAAATAGACTCATACAGCCTTCTAGGGGACTGATACAACTCTCAAAAAGGCTGTTCAAACAAAACTGGAGCTTTTCAGTTTAAAGCAAAAATTCCTGCTTTTATTTTGAGAAGATTAAAAAAAATACAGTATGATGCAATTTTACATCCCTGGAGACAGCAGAGCCAGAAACATAAGATTTTCTGTAGGTAATGGAATGAGTATATAAATGTTTAAAATCACCTTGCTATATTTTTTTTATATTTTTACATTAGCTCATATTTTCCAACTTAAATTTTTGGGCTAATTTGGCCCATGCATTTTATAAATTATGTCTAACACAAAGGTTCATTTTCATGTGAACTATGAACAGCAAGCCCTTTTAGTGGAAAACACAAAAAATATTTAGATAGAGTCACTGGCTGACAATGCCAGTTTTTATTCTTGTACATCTTGTAATTGAAGTTTACACATTAGATAACTTCCATCTTTCCTTCTTTTAATATCTAACTTCTCAAAATATTCAATAACGTGATAAAAGGAATTACAACTATCCTTCCTTTTTCCTTAAATCACCAACATACTCCATATGAAAAACTGTGTGACAAAGCATTTAATATTATTTTATTAGTAAAATCTAAAAAAAATTTTCTATCTCACCTTTGTCCCCCCAGTAGGTTCCCAAAGAATTCATTAAAATTTTGTGTCTGGGTTATGTTGAAAAAAAGAGACTAAGAGACAAAATTCTGTAATACACCTTTTTTCCACAGAAGTCAGATGACCCAAATTGTCAGACAGCAAATTAGCATTAGTTGTAGCTGTGCACTAATTGGCCCAATGGGGGAGTTCTATAAAGTCAGGAAAGGGAAAAGGAGCTTGGATCACCAGTGGTGTACACAGGGAAAAAGAACAAAAATCCATATCAAAAATGAAAACAAAATCAATTGGTTCAACTGCTCATGAAAAACATGTTTATTCAGAGAGTGTCTGGAGGTTCACATGCTCCATGTACTTATGGATCATACACTAACAATTCAAGGAACACAAATCCAGTGGCATAACCCAAAACATAAAGTACACGCCAGAAGCAGATACTGTTAGCAGGATGTGAAAGATCAAGTCCATTGCTCAGAATGAAGGGATGTACAAATGTAACAGAGCAAAAGAACTAATGTCCATTGTAATTACTTTCATCTGACATGGAATTTAATTATTTAAATAGAAAAGGTTATTAATAATGTCCTGAATACATTGTCAAGCAGACAAACTATCCCTACATTTGTGATCATATAATAAGTGAAGGCTTGTTTCAAACTCCTTCTAAATTCAGTTGATAAACTTATAGCCCTTAAATGAATAAGGAGTTACTCAAATTCAGGTAAATACCTTTGCTTTAAACAATAAAGTATATTATAACCATAGGTGTGTGGTCTTCTATGGAAATGAACAGAATTAAATTTGATGATAAATTCCATACATGCAGTGTAAGCTTATAAGAATATTGCTAGAACTGCCGAGTGAATAATAATGTATGTTACACTGGGACAAAGTTTAGAAGACAATTCATACATAAGGCAAGATGATAAAGGTATATTTGCATTATAATAAGGATTGCTACAGACGTGGGACATAATCCTGGAACACAATATTACAGGTACTGATATGCAGTTAACTCCTCAGGAACGCACAAGAGTGCAAACGTTTAATGCCTAGCATTCCTAGTGCTGTCAGTAATCAGTCTTTTGAGGGTATATGGAATAAATTGTTAACTGACATGCACATACGCTTACCTAAATTTTCTTCGTGGACAAGATTTGATCTGAACTTTATAAAAGCTAACTCTGACAGGGATTGTAGCTCTAGGGGACTTCTCTGGTTTTGATTAGCAAAGTGAGCTCTAGAATGTCTGCACTGCAAACTTACACCTTCCCCTGCACATCTAGCTCAGATTATTGTTCCATGTCAGGAACAAACACCCTCTGTGCAAAAGGCAGCTCACACTCCAGACAGCATCATTGTAAACTGCCTAGTTAATTCAGTGTACAAAGAAACAAGATACAACACAACAGCAGACTTCTAATTAGTTACAGTTGACCTGGGATTCTGTATGTTATCTGTTAGACTACAAAATTCTTACTTGTCTTCCCATTTTTTGTGCAGAAATCTAAAAGGTCACTTGTGTTTTGTGGTCATCTTAAATCTTAACTCAGGAAAAAGAAGGGCAAATTAAAAAAAAAAAAAAAAAGCTTCAATTAAAGATTCAAAACCATCTAGACCAACATATGCAGGTGCACAGTTTAACTTGCAAAATATGTAGTCCCTATTTCTGTTTTAGCTGCTTTAAATTCAGCAAATGTATAATCTCTTCCACTGAAAAACATCTCATTTAATAATATTTGGGAAGCAGCACTCAAGGGACTTCTCTGTCATTCATCAACAATGACCTAAGACAATGAAAAGGGCAGAATATTTTAATTAGAATGATGAAAGAAAATCTTCATCTAATTTCGCTCAAGAAGTCTAATCTGGGAAACACAAGATGCTGCCTGATATAATAATTTTCCTTTCTGATGTATCATTGTTTCCTTCTGAATCACCTGACCCAATGCTCAAAAGTGAAATACAAGCTCCTTCACTTCACCTCAGAATTAGGTTTTCACAGTTTTTCTTTATGTGTTTATCTGACTAGCTCTGATAATATGGGATCTTTTTTAGCCCCAAGCCTTCTCAAAGAATTCAAAGAGAACAAATCCACAAACAACTGCCTCTGATAAGTCTGCAAATGAAGCTCAATGTGCTTGAAAAAAGGAAGTTGTGTAAGCCATCTTTTAGCTTTTCAGTCATCATTATACACAATTAACAGAGAAAGTGTAGATAGAAGCAAGTTCACAGTGCAGCAAGGATGCTACAGGAGCATTTCTAAATAAATGTATCCTTCAAAAAATGTGCCCTTTGTTTATCAGTGAGACAATTCTAACCCTGAAGAAAACCCACTTAACCTTCTGATGCACAGGCAACTCAGACCAAACTTACAATATTAATACTTAAAACTTCACTCATCTCCTTGTGAAGATAATTTGCAGTCTTCATCTTGACATGTAAGGACTCTGTGAAATCTATTTCAAAGACTAATTCTGTGACAACAGTGACAACGATTCTTATATGAAGCAAAAAGAAAGAAAATAGTGATATCTTGTAATAGAAATGCTACAGGATACAGGAGCCACTACCTAATAATGAGACCGCTGACTATGCTCCAAACACACTGGGAGCTAAGCATGGAGACATGCACGAGTTACCTCAAGGGCAGAACCCACAGAGAACTAACAAGCCCACAGAGTCAGTAGTATTTGGCCATCTGAGGAAGAGAGCTTATCAAATGGGAAGCAAAGGTGATGGTTCTCAGTCACGTGTATTGCTAAAAGTCCATTGAAGGACTATGCTTATTGGGCTTCTCTTCCTCTTTGATATGGTCATAGGAGGCTTCTGCCATACAGGGTATGATTCATCTCTTCTATCTTTAATCATCAGTCACTACCCAAAAGTAGTGTCTTTGTCCATTATTTACAGTGGAAGTCTTCACAACAAATCAGACTTGTATCCTTTAGCTACTTACAGATAGGTGAAATGAATACAACTAGGAGCAGAATTTTTACAGTTCCTCAGGTTTCAGTGCCATGTGGTTTGGGAAGAGCCTGATCCTTAAATTTCTAAATCTAAATATTAATTTTATCACTAATTATCCACACATCTTGCAAAAAATATCCCCTTGCACCATAATTCACGACTGCTTCTTAAGAAGTGGGGTTTTTTTAAATTAATTCAAAGACAACAAAAGTCAAAAGCCGAAGAAGTTTGTCAGTGCAGGACAGGAGATTTTTCTTTCCTTAAAAGCAAGACTAAATCAACTCCACATAAAGGTGGTCACTAGATACAAGGATTCCAAGACTAGAAAAAAGAAAGCAGTGGTCAGGAATTAACTAAAGTTCAAAAAATACATGGTAAAATCTTAAAGCCTTGACCTACTTACACATTTACAGATACCTCAATTTGATTTCTGTTACTAAAACAAATTTCAGTGCCAGAGAATTAAAAGTACACCCAAGAATACTAGCATGAAACTAAACATAATTTTGTACTCGGTTATTGTACATCAGAATAGGGGATTGCTCTTATGTTGAGTGTACCAGGGTCCACCCACACTATAGCTTTGCTAATTTTGCTAAAATCTTTCTTCATTTTACCCACATGCAGGGGTGGAATAACCCAGCGGAACTAACTACAAACCTCATCCAAACTTGTTAACAAAGTACAAGTTGCCTTATATAATAATTTCTTACACTAAACAACAAGTTTCCTTCGACATTTTTTCCCCTCCATACTTAAACCCATTACAGAGTCCGAAGTCATTAGTGCAGCTGGCCAGCAGGTTGCAGGAGGCTTTCCCTAGCCAGCACCCCATTGCAGTGATGTATGTGAAGCAACATGGGCTGAACAAAACCAGCAGGGTCGGAGAGAACTGAAAAATTCCTTGCAATGGCCATTTTTTCTGTTTTCCAACACAGGCTAACTATACGGAATAGATAGATATATTCTCATCTTGTTAGTATTATACTATTGATGAATTAATGTAACTGCTCTTGCTTTCAACAGTACTCCTA